AAACCATCGAAACTTTAAATGTGAAATTGCATAATTTAATATTCACTTAATGATATATTGTGCTTACACAACATACCGAATGCCTTTTAACCTATATCGACGGGTACCCAAGTAAAACAAATTACAATTTAAATTCATCATAGTTACTTGGTATAATGCTTATAAGATAAACAGTTCTTTAGAGGCTCAAAAGGTATTTGGCTAATCATACGTCTTTAGTATATCTTTTCAATCCTTTAAACTTGGGGCGTTTTTTTTTTTCAACTTCTATTTACATGCCATATGTGGATAGCGGGGAAAGATGCAGTGCTATGCCGGTCACATGGTACATAACGAAGACCATGAAAAGTAAACACCTGTTCTATTTCCCTCTGCTTATCATAGCTGGGCACCTGGATAAAAATCGTCTTTAATGTAAAAGTTGAAAACAATCTAGTAGAGTACAACATAGCTCATTTTTGTTGCTTTTATTGACAGAATTTCACTTTAACTATATTCTAAGTACGTACCTCATCGGTGGACATACTCAAACAGTACATATATAGATTCAGTAGTCAGGGACTTGTTCCCAATATCACGATATCGACGTACCACACAGAGATTCGAGAGATGAAGATAACGGGGAAGCTTTGTTGTCATCATTGTGATATCATCCTGAAATCAGTGTTTCCTTTTATGATACGATGCTGGATATGGCTGATGTGATTGTTACCTATTGATTTCGGTGTCGCTCTATCATCTTTCATTTTTAAACATGAACACAATCGAGAATACAAGGCCCTCGTAGATTTACATGGTGGGTGTCTTCATTGAAGCATAGAACACTTATCCTTGCGAACCATCTGATATTGTTATGTTTGTACTTTTTGTATGTTCAGTGTGTTTGGTACTGGTTTGAATGAGTTGAAATATGGCTTTCTTTACATTGACGTTTGCTTTGCTTCTGTTTTAGGGTTGTTACAGATTATGTTTTGCCGCTTCAGAATCGTTCATTTATATCTAGATTACTTTAAAAAAAAATACATCACGGGCGACTTCAGGTTTATTTCAAAGTATTGTATTGGGTGCAGTTACATAAGGTTATCATCAGGGGTTGGAGGGGCTTTTAAGGTCACCCGAGGTTTGTAAAAAAGGGTGGTGGTGTGATTATAACATGTACTATAGAAATCATTATGTTAACATTGTAAATAAAGCAAGACAGCTAGAACTACATGCTACCTGCAATGCAAATGTAACATTAAGTAAGATCAAATTATACTTTAAACTTCAAGTTTCCAATAAAAAAAAAAGTACGGATCACTTCCTCCCCTTCATGAGATTTACAATTTTAATAAATTGGCCTCTTTTAAATGGCCTCACCCATCCACAGTCGGATGTTTACAAACAGAGTCAATGTGCGTATTGCCTGAACCTGTCATAAACATAAATAAATAGGTTGAGTTATAAAACAAATAAGGCTTAAAACTGTAAGTCTCCTCAAGTAAACTTTCCTATATTCCTTGTAGGATATGTGAAATCCTCAGGCCATGAAATTCGTGACTTTGGTAAGAACTTTGACAATCTAACATCAATTTTACACCTTTTGGCCCCTACACTAGGTATCAAGAGGTGGGGCAGACATAATACACAGAATTGGTGTACGCTTTTGCAAAATCATATTTGTTGAATGAGGTTTTTTAAGAAGTAGAATATGCGACTGTATAGGGATGCACGATGCATGACTAACGATAGACTACGATGGACGTGCGGCGATTGCAACAGGTCACTTGAGACTTCGCCTTATCTGACCTGTAAGCCGATACCAAGAAGGCTATCTTCCGGGTTAAAATTTTCAAACCGTTAGTAAATCAACATGCCTTTCTAGCAGAAGAGAGCTGAACAAACATGTACCATGATATTGCACATCGAACACTGTCAATGAAATCAAATCTAATACAATATTCATAATATGCTGACAAAATTGTAATGAAAAAGAAAATGAAATAAGTTTGCTCGTCAAAAATACACTGACCATGTCTATTAAAATAAACAACAAATGTATGTATCTTAATGAAATGAGCGATAAACAATTGATAGAGACATCTTTAAATTAATTTAGTTCAATTTAGTTCTTTTGTCAAATATAGTAACCGTCATATCATTCGAACGGTCTTTTTTCCTTCTGAAAACAGAATTTCCAGTAATTGATATATTTTAAAGATCGATTTTGTAAAGCTATGAAACTTCATTTCGTATGGAGTTTTCTTCCTGATAGCATACATATTCATTGTTTGCGACGTTGTAAATACATATATGTATATGAAATGTTTATTTTCAAAATTTAGAATGGTACATGAATAGGATAAATGACATGTCGTCCAACACTCTTAACGTCGGCTGTCATTGAAAGAACGCTTATAGTGACAATCGCTTCGTCATCTACCTCACTATCTTACGAATGCTGTCTGTAAAGGTTTACGAAACTCATTGTAATTAAAACGTACATAGATGAATAGGAAGGTGTTGAACTTCTTAAAATGGCATATCGTTATTAAGGTTCCCCACGATGTCTTTACGAAAAGAGATACTTCGGGAATATTTCCGGTTTTGCTGCATCTGAGGAAATAACTGTCGTTAACAATAGAAATCATCACTTAAGATTCGATAATTAGCAGGTTTCATTTTGATAAGAATAAAATCTGTTTATAAATGTCACTCATGAAATAATAACCGTAAGGAAAGAAATCAGATCAATGCATTTCCTTGCTAATATCATCACAAACAGACAATGGGACTTTATTTTATGCATACAATTGAAATATAATTGTGTAGCATGTGTCTACCATCCGAACAAAGAAATGTTCATTTAAAGAGGTTGGTACTATCATATATCTAAATGTAATTACGGTCACTTTTTCTCCAGACAATTGCTTCGAACTTGCATGAAAACAAAGAAATGTCCCTTTAAAGGGATTGGTACTATCATATATTTAAATGTAATTACGGTCACTTTTTCTCCAGACAATTGCTTCGAACTTGCATGAAAACAATATTCGGGAAGAACAGAAGTATCCTGGTACATTAGTCTGACATATATACGATCTCCCTTATTAATTGATACTTGTTTTTGTCATTCTTTCTACTTCTCGCAATATGATAATAACACTTGAATGTTTAATATAGCATTTTTACTCATCAATAACTAACTATTAATATTTAACTAGAACGTGTTCACGGGATTCGTATTCAAAGAGTAAACATCATGATATCTTTCACCCATGGGACTATCACAACATGCAATTACCCGATCACAACACGTCTAATACTAATGATGAACACCTGTGGACCATGACCAGCGCCATCAAAGATAATAAACTGTTTAGACTGTGGTCACTATAACCATTGTATTATATAATGATGATATTTTATGTCATCAAGATACACATTTAAAAGTGTGATATTAGATCAAAATATGCTGAAAAGTAAATTGACAGACTGGAAACAGTGAGGAAGTAATGACGTAATATGATGTGAACAATCACTGAGATAATGAAATTATAAAAAATATATCATAAATCATAACCCAAGACTGAATAATATTTGAGTCTTAAACACAAACACATAAAAAGACTGATTATCCTTTTGATGTGTTTTACATATATTTGTATATGTGGATACTTTCAACAGAAATCTGAGTACTACAGGGCTGCATTGATCTATGTAACGGAGCGATATTTTTTATATTACATGAAATATTCTTATACACAAACTATTAAATGTTACCGCAAACCATAGGTTGGGAGGGCTCGACTCAGCTCGGTACGAATGTACTGAAATTTAGGCGTTTTACCGTCATCATATCGACACATTTTACGTATTTATTTTGATAATCAGGAACAAAAATATAATGTATGTAAAGCCTTCCAAATAATGCTCATCCTTAACTGGGTAGAGTCACACAAAGTAAAACAAAAAGAGATATGTAATAACATTTATTTGCACGAATATATGACGATAAGCTTCTACATTCAGTGCATGGTTAGAATATGAGAAACACATAAGTAAAAGTGGCATCATTTCCGGTACAGAAACGTGGAAAATCCGAAAAAAAAATGGTTAAAACTGTCTCGTTAATAATGTGATGCATACCAAGAAAACATGGCTTACCTTCAGCTATGTAATGTTAAATTGATGGTTCAATAGGGCATAGCATTTCAACATTATGCGCATAAAAAACATTTTTATATGAAAACAAAAAGTGTTTGTTGAAGACAAAAGTTGAATAAAAACTAAGGAAATATGTTTGTAATAGTAAGATTGACATATGCAGATAATGAAGGTTTTAACAGGGAAATAAGTTAATGTTATCGATATTTGCATATCTGCGCCCTAATACCAAGAAAATAAAGACTGGTGTTCTAAATATAAGAATGATATCATCAACGAACACTGGTGATAGCAAGGCGCCCCGTTTAACACCGTCTACAATACTTCATGTGTACAACGTGTGTGGATTGCGAAATCTATGTAGTTGTCCCCACTGACCTACTATATTTACTATACTCCAGACCTGGGGCAATGAGTCGATAATTTCGTCACAAAGATTTTAACCAATCGCATTGTGCCCTGTAATCTCGATTTAGTGTATGGGTATTCCCAGAAGCCACAATGAAAAATATACATTTCCGAAAATCAACAATTAATGCATACTGCAAAATCTAGTAAGTTTAAAATGTTTTCTTTTATAGCCTGGTGAAAATAGAAAAAGCGAATAAAAATACCTTATATCAGAGAAGAGGTTTTGATTGATATTATTTTATTCGCAAGTCAAGGACATGATGATAATCAAAACAAAAAATTCTCATTTCCGACAAAACCGTTCGAGCCCTTGGCTCTTGTCATTCACTATGTATATACATTCGCCGAATCGTATCGTCACGTGACTTTTAGCTATTTAGTATCGAGACACGAAAAATAAACTCATTCGATCTATTACCTCTTTAGCAATAGACCTGTAAACTTTTAAACATGCATACAGGTAAGTTTGCAAATTCTTGAAGCGTGTTTTACAAAGCCACTGACAATACTCTACTGGAACTGTACATTTATCTTTATTTCACATGAAAGTGTCTTTACCTATTTTATAAGGATTCAATGTTATAACATTCAAAGTTAGCTTAAACAATATTACTAATATATAACAAAACTGATATCACGTTGCATTGTCTGTTTTCATTTTGTGTTCTTTGTAACCGATGTGAATGTTTTTTTCATATTTTTTCAGAAGCAGAATTTCCTTACATCAACATTTACTTGTCAATGTGTCAGAGTATCTCTGGATGTTCAGACACAGAAGAAAACATGCAGAACCGAGACCAGAAGGTAAGTTTTATTTTTTATCATCGTGTTTAATACTATGGCTCTCGTAATATTGCAAACATATAACGCAAACTTTGTAACATTACGGACAAAGACTAGATTTGATCAAGCTTTATATACATTTAGTTGTTAGCTTATTTCATATTTATATTTTCTTCTCTGCAGGTCCCACAAAGTCCATTCATGACCAACCAAATGGATATGACGATGCAAGGCTTTGACAATGTGCTTGTGGACGAACTAAGTATGCTTGAACCAGTGTCTGATGTGTGCAGTAACACACCGGCTTCTCACGATCAAGTGTGCGTACCTGATAGCCCAAAAAGTTTCACTGACTTAGATACACAGTTTTATCCAGAACATCTACAAATCAAACAAGAAAAACAGGAACCTATGGACTTTCCTCCATGTGAACAATTACGATCCGATTTCAGTGCGCATGTACCATCACACCAGCTCCATCAGCAAAACAGCATGCTGTTGAAAGATGACGAATCTCTTTCCCGACTTGTGTTTGGTGTGATGAAACAAGACATTGAACACATATGTCGTATCCTCAGAATAAACCAAAGTAAGTACAACTTTGATCAAACTTAGTTTGTAACATCATTTTGTGGACGTCAAACAATAAGACTGTTTATTTTATTTGGGTTTGGAATCATAAAATCTAAGGTTAGATATGTATATATAGGGTTAATGTGTTATTTTGTATGTGTATTTTAATGAGCGATACAATCTTGGCTAGGCCCCATCCCAAAACGAAATACACACGAGTGTCACGCAAGAAACGTCAGGAGAGGACGGTGTTTACCTGTGTCTGCCTAGCACAATACATATCTAAACACACATGCGTGCGTCCTTTACAGCGTTTATTTGTCTGATCACCTGTCCAACTATTGATAATTTGTAACACACTGCTACAACATAGAAACACTTACATGTTAAACGAACAAATTATCCCTACTGGCGTTCACACCACCGACCATATGTATCCAATTAAACAGAAGTTATAAATCCATGCTATCATACCTGTTTTCACATGATTTTGTGTATTATCCAGATCCCCGATATTGGAGTCAGGATGACGTCAGAAAGTGGCTGCAATGGCAAGCTGAAGAGTACTGCCCGAACTCCATTGATGTCAATGTATTCAAGATGAACGGACTCGATTTCTGCAACCTTACACAAGATGACTTCAAACTTAGAACACCTGCTGCTTGGTCCAACATTTATCACCAGCTGGAGATATGGAAAAGTGGTAGGTAAACTACCTGAAGCCATGTACATTAATAATTCCACGGTACATTTATCACAACTGCTAATCTGCGATCTAAAATAACGAAGTTTACCGTTTATTCAACCACTGTGTTACAAAACCGTGTTGCACATATGCTTTGGCTTGTCAGCCAGACGGTAGGGTCACTGGCTTCTTGCTATTTAACATTCACAAAAAATGTCTTTAAAAGCATCGTAAATTAAAGTGTTAATCTGATTTTCCTTTTGAATAGATAGATTAGGCAGCTTTTAAGAAAACCACATATTCACGAATTTTCAATTTTAATGGGGTTCGTTTCGTTTTATGTTACAGCATGTACTTTAGATACACCGTGTATGTCGCAGACGACAGATTTCAACTGTAACCAGCGGTTTTACCCTGATTTTGAGCGAATCCCTATTCCAGCCATGTCTCCGTCTCCGAGTGTCTCTAGTGATGACAGTGATGCACGAAGTGACAACGATGAATTCTCAAACATGTGCGGTGTAACATCACGTAAGTAATTTAAAGAAATTATTTCCCGTCTTGTGCCCCACTTATTGGGTCTACTTTCGTTATGTCAGGTCTGAAAAGGTGAACGTCGGAGCATGTTTACTCTTCGATAATTCTACATTTGCGATATCATTTTATTGGGCAAAGCATTTGAAACGGATTACTTGTAACAAGTCACGGTGATTCCATGAACTAGTCCGTCTATTTTATGTGATTCGGTGTGTTTAGCATATAACTTTTAACATTATTGCTTTTCCAGCTTGTCTTCCCGCCGAAACAGAACACAAGCAGACGATACATTTGTGGCAGTTTTTGAAAGAGTTGCTTTTACATCCCGACAATTTCTCGAATTGCATTAAATGGGTCAGTCAAAAGGAAGGAATCTTCAAAATAGAGGACTCTTCAAGGGTAGCGAAACTATGGGGAAAGAGAAAAAACCGTCCAGCCATGAACTACGACAAATTAAGCCGGTCAATCCGACAATACTACAAGAAGGGAATCATCAAGAAGACAGCACACTCCAAACGGCTTGTATATCAGTTCTGTCAACCGTACCTGTGATGACGCCATAGTTCGTCGTGTTTTTTGGACGACAGCACCCCTTGTCGTCAGTCATGTGACCTTACGTGACTGTTTCTGGCGGTACATGTCAGATCAGAACTTTAGAATTATCTCTACTAAATTTGGTTGATTTTGCAGAGATATCCATGGCATTGATTTGGCAAAGTCATCGCGAACATGTCGTCTTCCCACCGTGGGATAGTCGAGACTGATCGGTGTGAGGTGTTTCCTGCTTCGGGTGTCAATCATCCAATTACAAAACTTAGTAGATAGTCTACAGTATGACGGATAGACATGAACAAAATGCTGAACAGGAAATCCGAATTTGTTTATGTCTTTTTTAATGTTTGTTCTCCTAGTCCTTTATGCTGTGAGCATACCAAGAAATTGTTACATTTAAATGTATATATATTAAATATTTGTTATACATCTACCATATTCAAATACATCTGTCAAACGTTCTTTGAAAAAGAATATTCGTTATACCTTTGTCCTTGTTACAAAAGTTCAAGTTACAGCTAATAAATAATTATTTCATTTTTTTCAAAAATAAAAAACAATACCGCAATGATTATAAAGACAAATACCAATGTTAAACGTCTCAATATCTCATTATCTCATTTACAAATTCATTACTGTTAAATGGCTTCATAATATACCAAGTATAAGTATTGCAAAATGGCTAAATGTACATAATGATTGACACAAGTTTTTCATCATTTGCAAACAAATATTATATAATACCCCATTTTATTTCACCTTAGGTAGAAACACGGTTGCATCTATGGGAAGTTTTGAGAGAGAGGCTGAATAACTGGATAATTTTGAAAGTGTGTGGATATTACCAAGCTGGTGATAAATTTGTAATTTGGAAACTGTTTGAGATTTTTGTTAGTTGGTTTCTTCGAGTATGCTTGTGTGTCACCGAGTCAGTGTTTGGTGACTAGTATGTTTAAATAAATGTGATTGATTGAAAGTCATAATGAATAACGTTACAAATGGTGGGTGTGTGTCGATGTAATGAATAATGCTTTATGTAGACAGGCGCATGCATAATATATTGAGCAGATACAGGTTGTTTGGATCTGAATAAGCGAGTGCATTATTTTAAGGTTAAAAAATGAGTATTCTTTGAAGCAAATATGTGATATTTTTGTACGCAGTATATGTATATGAATTTATATAGTTTTATAATTACATAAAAATGAACCAAACACATTTGTTGTTTTATTTATCTCACAAATGTGATCACAAACAATTTTTCGTGCCCAATCAACCACCTCATGAGTTGGAAAATAATACACATCAATAGAGGTACTTGAATGCACGCCCTGTGGAATAGCTTAGATTTATGTTATTATATTAAACAACATTAAATCTTCATGAGACAAGTTATCATTAATACGTATCCAACATCATTAAATCTTCATGAGACAAGTTATCATTAATACGTATCCAACATCATTAAATCTTCATGAGACAAGTTATCATTAATACGTATCCAACATCATTAAATCTTCATGAGACAAGTTATCAGCTTAATCACCAGATAGCATACATGTCATCATAGGCTAGAGAAGATATTGTAAAAACACGTCATATTGTCAGTTATAACCCAAGTACAAAAATTATTCAAACTCTTAATAGAAATAACAGGAGCCGATCGAGATACACTCAAAGCAGAAAAAAAGGACATAATAACGAAACAGAAGAGACCCCTAAACGGAAGTGTTGATAGGAACGCTTAATACAACACAATAATGGCTACAACACCGTGAAATCCTTGTAATGAATGTCATTTGTGTCCCATAAATTTAAGCATTTTTGTGTTCAGCGTGTAAAATTTAAGAACGTGTATTGATTAAGGCATGCAAAACTCGACTATCAATATGATTGGCATTACCAGAATGGAAATGAAACATCAAGAAAAATAGTATTTTAAAAATTCACGAATTAAGATTTCAAGTTTCTTGCCATCCATTTTCTAAGTAAAGCAATATATTAATAGTTCAAATGAATTGTAACTGATATCCCATGTTAATTTAGTATTCTATGTCACATTTATCGTATCGGAAAGTAATAGCCAAATCTTGTGTATAACTTAACATTTTAACATTTACTTTAAGTTGGTGCTTGTTAAAGTAGTTCATAACTCGCTCGTAAAGATGTATAATTGGTTTTAATAATTAGTTGTAAACAAATCAGAGGAAAATTTTAATCATTAGCTCTTTACCAAAAAAGACTTGAATTTTCCGAGAAATTGTTATCTTCAAAAGGCAATACTTAAGTCAAAACAGAGATTATATAACGTCCTGTTTTTATCTTTTCCATGGCTTTGAACCTCTTAACATTCCCTAAAAATTAAGAAGCACACGCTGTACATAATATAATCTCTATCTTTAATACTACGCCTATCTAGATTTTTTCTTTTTTTTTCATTTTGGAGTTCCCTCTCAATCATCTCCTAGATTTTAAAATTAACACTCTTAGCATCACTGACGAGTCCTAGAAAAGCGAAACAGGTGTATGCCGTGGGTTACTTCATTGTAAGTTCACAAATGTAATGACCGAAGGTAATAGTACGAGTTCTTAATAATAACAATTTGATGCCATATCGGATCGTATGAGGTTCATATGAGGACTGTGATGACGTCATAAAAGTAAATTCAATTGACATTGTAATTCAAATTATCAGGTATGATGTCCCATGACTGTTATTTCATTTTTGACATACTTTGTCTTGCGTGAAAATACATAGTGTACATAATGACGCGAAAACGTTTTCGTTTGTAATGTTTAAGGAGAGACCTGCTTCCGCTCTGTTTCATGAGTACCAAGACGATGTTTTATCAATCATAGGAACAACGAAATTTACCCATCAACTCAGTCAGTGTATCAATAACAATTCACACACAATTTAGACGGAACAATGACAAAATAACAAAATTAGAACAAAAACATTATTTATACACAAACTCCGGGAAAAAAACCAAAACCAGAAGAATGGGATCAGGTGTTCCTGAAGTGCCTGCTCATTCATCAACGTCAACCGTCTTTTAAGTTTTGGTAAATCCAAGTAAGCATGCCACGTTTCCAAATGAGAAGAAGGTATACAACAACGGAACCAACAAACCAATGAACATCAAACACATTCAGTTTCATATCGCACAAAGAATGTATTTTAATGAGACCTTTAAGATGACCGTAGTAAAACCTCCCCATCATTTTCCGATATGCCCAGCGTCAGTCAACATACTACTTTCAATTACCAAGCGCATTTTTTATTTTCTATAAATAGTTGTTGACTATTTTTTTCAGAATATTGTCTTTTAAATAAAATCTGTAAGTAATTTACTTGTCATTTTGGTCGCGTCAAAATAATTAAGAACTTCTCAAATTATATGAACCATCGAAATATTGTATAACAAAACACCAAAAAACACCAAATAAACATCTCCTTTCCAGCATTAACGTTAAAGGAAGAGGCGAGCACTTCATGTTCTTAACGACTTATCAAAACAGGACAACAATACATTTACAGCTTGGCAGAAAAACAAAACACTTTGTGATAATAAAACAAGCTCTTAAACCAGACCTCTTCACATGCATTACCAGTGAAATATTACTGTTATATACAAATAAACGATATTAACATAACCTAAGCTGATTTTGTATGTTCTTGCGTATACTTTCTGATAGCACTAATCGGGTATCGTTTTAAAACATACACACTACTTCCTACTAGTTAAGCAGTTACATGATCTTCTGTTGTTGTTTATATTACACCAACAGCTATGAATATACCAAATGTAAAATCTAAATATTTTAGAAACGTCTGAAATGTATATATCTATATCCACACTTCCATCTGGTATTATGATGTCATTCCATAAATCAGAATGGTAGATTTTTAGTCTATATCGAGTCCATATATTATCCAGGACTTGACCTAAAATGCAGCTTCTAATACTAGTGTATACTTAGAAAAATTCTAAATGAAATATCTTATAATAACATGTTGCAATATTTTTAATTTTAACAGTTTGTTTCAACCTTAAATGTTTATGTCGTTTAATGTTTTCCGTTTTCAAATCAGCGTTAGACACATATATAAAGTTTAGTGTGTTTAGGACTCGTCAGTATTCCTAGTAGCTTTGCTGTCGTCGACTCTGTTCAACTTATATAATCTTTATTTATTTTACAACAATTGCTAAACAAACTTTTAGCTTACATCAATCACTTTTGTTGGCCCGGATGAAAGCGATCGAAGCCTTTTTTTCTGTTGGAGAAAACCGTAGTACCCGTAATACCAACACGTAAAAATAATTTTCCAAACTCAAATTTTAAAAACAACTAATGCAAAAAAAAACGTCACGAGAATGCCAACATAATCATAATTCAAACTCGAATTCAATTTAACTAAGGCAAAATATGAACAAAAGTACAGGGAGAATAAGACCGTGTATTCAAGAAGAGTAATCGTCTTCTACTTCATCGACGACATTCCCCATGTAAACCTTGGTCAACACAAGCATGTAATATCATGTTCTCAAATGAGAGCAAGGTATACAGTAACGGAACCAACAGACAAATTAACGACGATCAAATACGTCCAGCTTCATGTCGCAAAAAGAAATAGTGTGTTTCTCAATGAGATCACTATGGCGACCATAAAACTTCCCCATATATTTTATCAGCCTGCATCTTTTGAAAACTCTATGTTGCGAGTTTATGAATAAGTTGACGACGTTTTGTGAGAAAATCGTGATATTGGGAACAGGCCCTTGAATGCCGAATCATCTGCGGCATGTTAACACTATAGGTTGGGGATGCATGGCAGTTGCGATCAAGAAATAAAAAAACAAATGGCAATAAAGAAATTGAAATCATCACGATTGCCACACCGCCTGGTGGAAAGTTGCCCACGTTTCGTTGTAGAAAAACGAATCTGACTTGTTTTTTCGTTTTTAATTATGGTGGACATATGCAATGGGTGTGGTGAATAAATCTGTTGTTATTTAAAGACAAGAAGTCATCAGTATATCTGAAAACGAAAATGATCGAATTGGCACTGTCTTTGTGACATTTTGTGATAGCCATGTCCAGATTTACATGGTGTATGTCGTCAATGAATGAGACAATGATAACCAATCTGAGACGCAGAACCTTTATCATCTTTGTCCGTTTCTGCCGTCTCCGTTTTTTTTTTTTTTTTTATTTGTTTGTTACATTGATATTATACCGAGTGTTTGTAAAGCAAATCTCCTGTATATTAAAGATTTAAACAACTATCCATTGGCCAAGCTTGTTGTCCATGCGTAGCTACATTAAGTTTCAGAATCACTTTTAATACTATTGAAAAAAGAAGAGCATTCCAGCTAGTTGTCGCCCCTGATATTTTTATGTAGAGAATTCACTAAAAAATCACAATTGTAAGTTTAAAAAATCGTAATATGTCGTATAATGTATTTGATCCCCGAGGCTTATGGACTACATCAATTTCCCTGATTGCTGTTTTCCCCAAGGCTGTCTGATACCAATGATAATGAATATTATTTCAAAGAAAACGAAGTACTTCGGTAATTGACCGAAAACGTAGCAAATTGATAGCATCTTTATCGATGTGAAAAAAGTTACCAAGCAGATGTCATTCAATAAAGACGTGATATCACAAGGACATACACGCATCACTCGCGGAAATAAGCCGAAATAAGACATCTTTAAAGCAGCACAAAGACACTAAAACAACACCAGGTAAAACAATGCAGCGTTTTAACCTTTAGAGGTCAAAGTTCAACATCACGTTGGTGGAACGTTGCAAAAATAGGTGCTCCATTAACATCAGAACTTCACATTAAATAAGCTATTGATAAAAAATTGTTCCAAAAGCTATGTTTAAGAATAAATCAGGTACATTATACTCTGGCCTACATTCTGTCTGAATGTGGTCATTATCATATAAAGTGTGCAATCATAAGTGTTTCTTTAATCATTCGCAATGTTAGAAAGGTAGCAATACCTAAATAGATAAAATCTTCAGCCTAACCACGTCTTATATAATTCATGAGAGTCAAACAAAGTGAAAATCTTAAATATGTCCACGTCTTATATAATTCATGAGAGTCAAACAAAGTGAAAATCTTAAATATGTCCACATCTTATATAATTCATGAGAGTCAAACAAAGTGAAAATCTTAAATATGTCCACATCTTA